CCCCAAAACCCCAAAACCCCAAAACCCCAAAACCCCAAAACCCCAAAACCCCAAAACCCCAAAACCCCAGCAAGATACAAAGATGTTGAAACTCTATAATTTTACTTTTTCTTCCTCATATGAGTTGTCCAAGACTTATCTGAACACTTAGAGCTATGTTTGACTTCTTCATCAGCACAGCTATACCACTTATCGGGCTTAGGCTCAGCCAAATGTATCGAACAAAGGGAGAGAATCTAGAGAGAAATAGGTTAAAATAGTGCGTGGGTAACAGTAATGGAACAGGATCTGATTATTGATAAAAGAAGTAATAATAATAGTGAAAGTGCTCGAATAATAAAATTACTTTTGGTCTTGTATCCAGTTGCAGAGTCAAATGATTTCTCTTGTTCAGCAGATCATTCATTAATCAAATTAATGATATTAGACTTGCCAATTTTGTTTTCTTTGTTGTTTGAGTCTTTACGCCTCTGCTTGTTCATCACCTTGTCCAGCTTCGCATTCAGAATGCACACCTAAACATTGGTTACTCTCTCATAACTTGGCAACACACGAAGAACAGAAATAAATAGGAGGAGTGGTCCAAAATCAGAACCCCACATTAGGCTTAGCTACAGCCAGGACAAACTCAGATGCCAGTCGCATCAGATTGAAGCTGGGCGGACTCACTTCATCTTTGGAGTCTTGGTCTACAAATGAAGCAGAAGCTTACCTTTGAACTCGGACTCTTCTGCAGACTCACAGTACTCGACCTCTCTGCTCATGGTCTTCGTGAGCATAACGCATTCTTCTCTGTCTGATACAGAGGCTCCGTGTTCATCAGGCCTCGAGGGACTCTCTGCTTCGCCAGTGGCGTCTGCAGCGTCAGAGCAGAAGCTTTCGGTGAAGTTCAGAGGAGCCTTCTGGTGGCCACTCATCGACTCCAAGTCTGAGTCGTTGAAGAGCGAAAGAGAAATTGGTTCGCTAATGTGCTCTTCAAGCAAAGCCTCTTCGCGGTCGGAGTGGAAGCAGTCGAGCTTCCCGCTTAGTTTTTCCGAACTCGACCTGTGGATGAGTTTGTCTTGAGAATTCTCTTTGAGCAACAGATCGAAGAGCTCTTTCACCGACTTGATGCTTGAACTGCCTGACTTATGGTAGTGCTTTTGTTTGTAGGCTCCTGAGCTGGCTCCCTTCTGCACATAGAACGACTTCGAACCTATAAGCTGGGTTACTCTGAACAGAGGAAGTTGCTCATAAACAGAGACTGAAGCAGTCGGACACAACAGAAACCAGTAACTAAGATCCAAACTGTTCACTGGAAAAATCAGTTAAATTTTGAGCCGTTTGTCCTCGATTTGGTGGAAATGGCTGATGCTTATTGCTAGTAATGCCAGGGAATACATCGACACTACCTCAGTCAGCGCCTGGCAATAGCCAATGAACAAAGGCTACTGATGAGGCGGAGGAAGGCTGAAAGAGTGGCCGTCTAACGTTGTATGTTTAGACTAATGAAGTAGTGCCAACTCTCTGAAAGTGCAAATTCGACATTTCAGAAGGAAGGATCTTTACTTTGCATGAAATCCTAGTCCACTTACTGTAGAACGAATTGGAGGCTTTCTTCGAGAAATACTGGGAGTTGTCTCTGGGCCCGGAGTACCAACTTTTTCCGTATCTGTGCTTCATTTATAGTTGTTGACAGTTATTATTTAATTATTCAGTTAAACTTTTCGATTAAGGGGTTTTGGGGTTTTGGGGTTTTGGGGTTTTGGGG